CCGGAGTGTGAGAAGGCTTTTCAGACATTAAAAGAGAAGTTGACTACGGCACCCGTGTTAGCCCAGCCTGATGGAAGTGAGCAATATGAGGTTTATAGTGATGCGTCAAAGTTCGGGTTAGGTTGTGTTTTGATGCAAAATCGAAAGGTGATTGCTTATGCCTCGAGACAGTTGAAACCTTATGAGGTGAATTACCCAACCCATGACTTGGAATTAGCCGCAATTGTATTTGCATTGAAGATTTGGAGACACTACTTGTACGGAGTGACATGTAGGATTTTCACCGATCACAAGAGTTTGAAGTACATATTCACTCAAAAGGAGTTGAACATGAGACAACGACGATGGTTGGAGTTGATAAAGGATTACGATTTGGAGATTCAGTATCACGAAGGAAAGGCGAATGTTGTAGCTGATGCATTAAGTAGGAAGTCAAGTCATGCAGTTAACGCGATGATTCATCCAGATCAATTATGTGTGCAGTTCCAAAAGATGAATTTGGAGGCATTGGAACAAGGAGAGGTAAAGAAAATTTTGGGTGCCTTGTTGAGCAAACCGTGAATTTATGATGAGATTCGAGAAAGTCAGCCTGGGGACGAGAAGTTGAACAAGATTAAAGAAAAGATCGAGGAAGGGCAAATATTGGACTTTGCAGTAGCCGATGATGGAAGCATAAGGTTTAAAGGGAGATGGTGTGTTCCTCATAATCAAAGTGATCTTAAGCAAAAGTTGATGGAGGAAGCTCATAGTTCTCCTTATTCAATGCATCCCGGAGGGGATAAGTTGTATAAAGACATGAAAAAGACATTCTGGTGGCCGAATATGAAAAGGGAAATGGCAGAATTTTTGGCTAGATGTTTGACTTGTCAAAAGGTCAAAATTGAGCATAAGAGACCCCAAGGAACAGTTCAATCCTTGGAGATGCCTAGTTGGAAGTGGGATTCGATCTCTATGGATTTTGTAGGAGCTTTGCCAAAAACTCGAGCAGGAAATTATACGATTTGGGTCATAGTGGATCGACTAACGAATTGTGCAACGTTCATACCCATGAGGAGTACATGGTCGACGGATTAATTGGGAAGAGCGTATGTGAAATTTGTGGTGAAATACCATGGTGTGCCGAAGGACATCATCTCGGATAGAGACTCAAGGTTCTTATTCAACTTCTGGCAGAGTTTACAAAAGGTTATGGGGACTAAGTTGTTGATGAGCACTGCATTCCACCCCACAACCGATGATCAAACAGAGAGAACAATACAGGCATTAGAAGATATGTTGAGATCATGTGTTATGGAGTATCAGGGTTCGTGGGAAGATCATTTGGACTTAATAGAGTTTTCCTACAACAACAGTTATCATGCAAGCATTGGGATGGTGCCATTTGAGGCTTTGTATGGACGAAAGTGTAGAAGCCCGATATGTTGGAACGACATAAGTGAGACAGCTATGCTCGGGCCAGAGATGATCGAAGAGACAGTGAAACAAGTAAAGATGATTCAAGAGAAAATAAAAGCCGCACAAGATCGTCAAAAGAGCTATGCAGATTTAAAGAGGAGGGATGAGGAATATGAAGTAGGTGAGAAAGTCTTATTGAAAATATCTCCGATGAAGGGAGTGATGAGGTTCGGGAAAAGAGGAAAATTAAGCCTGAAGTACATTGGACCATACGAGATCATCCAAAGGGTGGGAAAAGTAGCATACAAGTTGGATTTGCCTAACGAGCTATAAAGAGTTCACAATGTGTTCCATGTGAGCCAAATTCGGAAGTATATACCAGATGCTTCCCATGTCTTATAGCCTGAGACTATCGAGATGGATGAAAACTTGACTTATGAGGAAAGACCCGTGAAGATTTTGGATAGTAAAGTGAGAAGCACTAGAAACAAGGATGTTAAGATAGTTAAGGTTTTATGGTTAAACCATAAAACCGAGGAAGCTACTTGGGAAGCCGAAGCAGATATGAAGAAAAGATATCCAGAGTTGTTTTCTGAGGTCAGTAGTCGAGTTACGGGGGCATAAATCCTTTTTAAGGGGGGTAGAATGCGATAGAGTTTCATGCTTTTGCCCTTTTTGGTTAGTTTTTGAGTCATTTTGACCTATTTTAGACTATGCATGAGTCGCAATTTGAGTCGTTATAGGTTGTGCATGAGTCAATAATTAATAACTTGGATTATTTAACCAACTTTTACTCAAGTTTTGAGGTCGAAACTTCTTTTAAGGGGGGTAAACTGTAATACCCTGTATTTTTAAAGCTACTTAATTATTATTAACTATGGATTTTTCCGAAATATTCTATTACACAAAAATATTTATATGATTTTATGAAGATAATATTATAATTATGTTTTGTAAAAGGTTTTAATTATACGAGTCATAACCAAAAATCGAATTTTTTACCTTTAGTATCATGCCCGAAATCCCGAGTCAAACACTTATTTTCGGGTCAAATTTACCCAATTACCACTCATTTTACTTCTTACTCCATAGTCAAAGTCCAAGTCAATGGTCAATGGTCAAAGTCAACAGTCAATGGTCAATGGTCAAAGTCCAAGTAAACCACCCAACCACCATCCATCTCTTTTATGGCAACATTGATGATGGAAGTTTTTGGAGGCTATAAATAGTCATGGAAGTAAGGCATTCTTACTCCATATTCCTTCTCCTCCTTTAAATCCTCCTCATATCCTTCTTTCTTTCATTTCCTTTTGGTCGGAGCCACCACGACACCACCTTGCCTCCACCTTGCCGCCATCTCCTTTCCCTCTTGTTTCTACCGTAAGTCCCTCCTATATACTACTATATATATGTATACTATTACACTACTACTACTTACTCTCACCTTCACGTACTACTACTACTACTCCTTATTATTATTATTATTATTATTATTATTATTATTATTATTATTATTATTATTATTATTATTATTATTATTATTAGCTAGCAACAACTACCTACACATATATGTTGTAAACTACTACATATGATACTACTATTTCTACCTTTTAAATTATAAATATTATTACTACGGATTATTAAAGATAATTTCATAAATACAAGTGTTAATTTTATAAAAGGGTTATGATAATAAATTGTTCATGCACAACTAGTAAAGTCGGTATTTTAGTCCTTGTGTCTATGGGTAGAAAAATATTTGATTAGAACTATTGGTTTGTTATAGGAGGAATTTCGGGTTCAAAATTAGGAGTTCCGTACTTGTGTGCAAGGATCAAGGTACGTACACGTGGCTAGATCTTTTAAAAAGTGGCTTTTATATGCAACGTGTTTTACATGTTAAGTGATTTCGAACAATGTTTAAATAATTGTGAAATATATTTCGGTGAAGCATGTTTTAATCGTTTAATCTCAAATATTAAATATTTTATATGGTTGATTATAAACTTGTATTGATATTCAAGAAGGAAGTTTTATTGTTTTAATTTGTCCCGAGTATGGGATATTGGAAAGTTTATTTATCAAGATTTATTCCTTGGATCTTTGGATTTGTAACTCCCACTACGCGGAGTAAGTTGAAGACTATGGACTTTGTATGACCTAGTCTTTCCCCTTGATAGCACTATGTAAAGGAGTTACTAGCTTTGGGGGTGCACACTTAGATGGGAAAATGATTTATGAAAATATGGACTGATCCATCCTATTCGGAATTATCTTTGGAAAGTTGGTTTGTTTCGAAAATTGGTTCTTTTGATAAGTTTCTATACATAAATTTCTATTCAGGATTGGTTTGGATAAATTATGATTTATTAAAGTTAAATCTCTTCGAAAGCATGTTTTATTAATTAAATTGATTTTACATGTCTAGCATTTGTAGTACTTAGCATTTTGGCTAATACGTATTTGTTTTGTTTTGGCTTGGTCCTACTTATCATTTTGATAAGTAGATAGGTGATGGCGATCGGACAACGTGAACTATATGCTGCATTGGGAATGATGGGCGGTGATCACCTGGTTTAATTTAGTAAACATAGTATCAGTGGTGTAGCTACTTTGAAAGTGTATCAAACTATTATTATTAATAAAAGATAAGTACTGTTTTCCGCTGCAAAACTCTATTAAGCCTTACGTAATCACGTGGCGGTAATACTCCCATGTTACTCCCAAAAGTTGGATTAGCATTGTTAAATGTTAGAGAGTAATTTGGGGGTGTTACATTATTTCCTTCACATATTAGCATCTCTGGACATAAATTGCTTAACGATTTAGAGTTCAAATAGTATAGAAATGTTATTAAGTCATGCATTTCATTGTATTGGAGTTAGATAAAAATATAGTATCTCTTTAAGACTTTAAATTCTGGTTATTATTGTTTCTTTTACACTAGTAACTAGGTTAATTCCATGCGATGCACGGTTTTATAATAAAAATTGCATTATAGACTTTTAACACATATTGAATAAAATAACTACTTCCTCCGTTTTCCTAATTAATTTTTGATTAAATATGAATATACAATTCTCAAAAGTGCATAATTTTCATATTTAATTAGGAAATTTAAACTAAATTATATTATTAACTATTGTTAACAAATCATAAATAACTATTATAACATAATATCTGTAGAAAACCCAAAATTTAAAAATTCAAATAGAATTTAATTTTCAAAGCAGAATAGGGTAGCTTGTAAAGGAAAAATATGATATCATCCATGCATTTTGGAGGGAAAAAATAAAATAAGAAAATGACACGTGGGCAGTGATAACATCAGCGATTGTTATTTTAGCATATACTCCATCCGTTTTTAAATACTTGCTCCACTTTCCTTTTTCGTCCGTTTTTAAATACTTGCTCCATTTCCTTTTTTGGAAATTTTTTACAATATTTAATTCATTTTTCACACTTGGTGGACCCAACATAATTCTCTCTCCTCCTATTCTTCCACTAATTTTGCTTTTTACAATTTTTTTATTTTCTCAACTACCCCACTACCTCCATATTTTATTACTTTCTCCAATTTATCCTAAAACTTCGCGCATGAAGAAATGGAGCAAGTATTTAAAAAGGGAGGGAGTATATAGATTTTGTATAACAAAGTCATATTGCATGGAACAATAATATACCAATTGATTCTCTCTAAATCTCTCTCACATTTCTCCTAATTTTATAACAGAGTATTAAACATGGTTTTTTTTTTTTTTTTTTTTTTGGATTTTGAGGAAATTATGGTGCAATTAGAAATTGAAAAAGTGTCTTTTAAAAAAAAAGTAGCTTTAATTTAAAATGTAGAAATAATCTCTATTATCTAAGGTGAAAACAAAACCTTACAAATCTAATCAAAGATCCTACAGTTATACTGTTATAGTCAACTTTCCAATAATTATTCAATTATAAAATCATCTTTATAACATTTTTTTTTTTCGTTATTGTTTTTCAAATGAAAGATAAAGTACCCTTTTATCTTTCTTTTGATAAACAATAACGAAAAAAAAATGTGAATTACTGAATTTGCATCCCAGCTGTTTGAAACTTTGAAAGGTATGCATATCCAAAATTACACAAACATGAGATAATATAATCAAGTGGACCCAATACTTTCAAATGTGGGCCCATATAAAAAAACCTTTTAATCAGTATTTATAAAATTTACTCAATTTTCTCTCTCCTCCTAATCTTTAGTGGGGTCGCCAAAATCCCCCAATTTTTTTTCCATAAAACCCTGATTCCTCCGCCGTCATCTCCACCGGAAACCACCACTATGAGTTCCGAAACAACCATCCTTCACAACCTCCAAAACTCCGACCAACCTCAATTCACGTCACAAGAGTCGCAACAACAACAATCTTTACCTCTTTCTTTCTCTCTCCCTTTTCCTCCGATGTCAATTACTTCTTGCTCCTCCAAATCAACCACCAACAACACTTCTACGACCGCCGCAAAACTCGCCGTCACCCGTCGCAAACACTCCTCAACCAAAGACCGACACACCAAAGTTAACGGCCGAGGTCGGCGAGTCCGCATGCCGCCGCTCTGCGCTGCGCGAATCTTCCAGCTAACGCGCGAGCTCGGCCACCGTACCGACGGCCAGACAATCGAGTGGCTTCTCCGACAAGCGGAGCCGTCGATAATTGCTGCTACTGGTACTGGTACTGTTCCTGCTGTGGCTGATTTTAGTTCACCGGCGAAATCATCTTCGACGAATGCAATTGCTGCTTTGCCGCTTTCGATGGATAATGGATGGCATTTTCCGTCGCAAACGGTGGGGTTGGAGTTTGGGTATCGGCATATTCCGTCGTTTACTGCGTTGTTGCTGCAGCCCGATGACGGCGAGATGAAAATGAGGTATCAGCATGAGGCGCATGAGGCGCAAGAGCAAGGGGAAGGGGAAGGGGAAGGTATTGCTAAACAAGAAGTTGAGAATTAAGGGGTGATTAATTAGTAGTAAGTAATGTAATTTGAGTTTAATTTTGTAATTTTTAGGGGGTTAGGGTATGAATTAGCTTATCGGATTAGATTAGATTTTAGATTAAATATGGTTTTTTTTTTTTTTTTTTATAACATTTGGAATGGGTTGAGGGTGCTGGGATGATGTATTCATCCGTGTGCTGTGAAATATAACTGTGAAGCCCTATTTTTGTTGGATTGGGGTTTTTTAAAGGCATTTGAAATGCGGTATGTGATGTAAATTTTTGGGGAAGTATAAAATCATATTTTGGTACCAAAGTTTTTGGGGTAATTTTACTAATTTATGATGAACACTTGAATTTTGGGTACTTGCTACTTACACTAAACAACTAAAGTTTTGTAGATGATGATGATATAGCAGTAAGATAATTTAAGAGCTCAGCTAACCATTTAAAATGTGCATTAGGCGTAAAGTGGGCCAAGAAATAGACATCGGATTGAAAAATAAATACGAGTAATAATAAATTAATAATGTACATACATACATGTACTTAGCTTTGTTTTTGTATTTTTTTTTTAATTAAGTATAATATAAGGACCTCACTTTTACAATTTTTGACTTTTAAAGGCCTCTCCCTTGTTTTCCGCAATTTCTTCCTTACTCTCGGAGTATCGTGAGCAAGGTACTTCGGGTTCAAAAAGACAACACTTTCAGCTCTTCTTCTAGCATCCCCTCCTTCTTCCTGATTTGCTCCCTTTTCTTCCTGATATGCTCTGTTTCCCTTTATTTTCTTTCAATCGTAATGAACTTAATCCTCTTTTTTCCAATTGCAAATTTTTTGTTCAGATTTTTCTCTCAATCCAATCAATCACTCTTTCTCCTCTTTTCATCAATTATACTCCTAAATTGAAGATGATTTTGCAAAATTTGATGTGTATCTACGCCGATGATGTTCGATTTGTATCAGCTTGGCTTCATCCCAAACCATGGCAAGTTGTACGATCCTTGTTGAGTAAGGCTTTGGCAAGCTTTGCAGAACCCTTGCCAAAGCTCCCCGGTGACGACAGTGGCAGCTAACCTGCTAGGGTGGGCGGGTCGATTTTGCGCAATTGCAAATTTGATGATTCTTTTTGAAAAATAACATATAGTGTAATCTAAATAACAAAATGTCAATTAAAAATAACATGTGTTTTAACAATTAATTTGCAAGTTATATACATAACATGTTTCTTTTAATAAAATAACATAATGTTTTATAAGAATTGGAATAATATTCCAAGTTATAAAAATAACATGGTTCTTTTTGTAAAATAACATTTATTAATTCTAAAATAATGTAATAAAAAACATTTATTAGTTAGTTCTAAAATGATATTTTTAGTTATAAAAAATATGTTTCTAAAGTCATAAAATATGAAATAACATTGAGTAGTTCTAAAATAACATGTTCAATAACAATAAATATTATGTTCAGTAACTTGAATAATATGCTTCTGTTTTATATTTTTATGTTATTTCGTTTTGTTAACTTGTTATTTTATGAAATAAATTGTACGTGAGCTTTTTTTTTTTTTTTTAAGTTGGGTTTCCAGCCTATTTATTAGACTGGGCCTGGAGTACAATACTAGGTACTCCAAGAATACCTAATACTAATTGCTTTTTTTTTTCTTTTTTACCATTAAGGACTTAACATATGGTTTCCGGTGATGATTTATATTTGTTAACCCAAGTTGAGTTAAACAAGAGTTTAGCTAACATAAATCATAATGAGGTGGCTGAGGTGACATGGGTAACCGTGCAAGTTATTGCAATTATTTCTCTAATTCTCTTCAATTCTTCCTCCCCTGTTTATTTCACCATTGTTTGAAGAAAATCATGACTCCAAAATTTACTCATTCAATTCTCAACTCCTATAAGTGTATCACCTTCTACTTCAAATCCCATTTCTTACGAAACATAATTGGCTAATTCTATCTCTTCATTTTCCACTTCTTGATCTCTGATTTCCTATTTATGCTATGGTTGCAATTATTCCTCTGATTCTCTTTTATCGTCGTCATTATTGCAGCAATTTTGTTGGTTGCTGCTGAATAGGTTGCAGATTTTTTTTTACTTCATTGTTTTCGACGTATTTTCCATGGACAAGGATGTTATGTTTCACTATTAACTTTCAATCTACTATATTTCTTTTCCCAAATTTCGATTGATTTTATTCCTAAAAATTTGATTTGTGGGTATATTTTGAGAATTAAATTGACATTTTCTACCAGCGAAAGCACCCTATGTCACATTTGCTACCCGTTTAAAAAAATATTTTATTTTACTACCACCTAAAATCACATAGTTATAATTTCACTACCACTTAACGGAATCGACTAAGTTTATTAAAAAAAAAAAAAAAAAAAAAATCAAAGTAACCCAGCTACCCCCTCCCCCTCCCCCCTGCCGGCGGCCAGCGCCCAGAGCTTCGAGCGGCGCCGGCGCGAACCCACCCCACCTTCCCCCACCCTAGACCTACACATCCAACCTTCACCGGAAACCACCTTTTTCCCTTGCCCCGATCCCCACCGAAAACCACCTTTTTTCCCTCTCTCCACCAGAATCGACCCCCTCCCCGTAATTGCTCCACCGAAATCGACCCCCTCCCCTTCCCTTACCCTTTTCGTCCATCCCAAACCCTAAACCACCACCCCAAAACCACCACAAGTGAAACCCTAAAATTCGTTTAGGGTGGTTTAGAATCAGGGATGGCCGAAAGGGAATGGGAAGGGGTTGATTTCGGTGTGGGGAAAAGGGAAGGGGGGCGATTTTCGGTGGGGGAAAAGGAAAGGGGGGCGATTTTCGGTGGGGGAAAAGGAAAGGGAGTGGCTTTCGGTACGGTGTGAGGGTCGGGGCAGCAACAACGGGAAAAGGGAGAAGGGTTGTCTACGTAGGTGGGGGAAAAGGAGGGAGTGGGGTCGCGCCGACAGGGGGGATGTGGTGGGGTCGCACCGGCGTCGGCGGGAGGGGGGGGAGGGGTGGCAGTTGAGGAGATGGGTGGTAGTGAAGTGGAGGGGTGGCTGCAAAGTGGTTGAACGGTGGCTACACCCAACTAATGAAAACAGTAATGACATAAGTCATGTGGTAGTGAAATATATATTTTAGGCATTTGTGTGGTAGCAAAATAAAATATTTTTTAGACGGGTAGCAAATGTGACATAGGGTGATGTAGGCGTTGTTCGAAGTGCACCTACGTTAAAGCATGTGTGAATATGCTTGGCACTCATAGGAAGTGGGAATTGACATAATACGATTAGGGAAAAGGAAAGTAGGGAGATGCCAACAAGTTTTTAAGGAACTTGTAAACCATTCACGGATCATAAAAGGTAACCACGAATAAAGGGACAACGAAGGCAACAATGATTGACCCGTGAAGGTTACACCCCACTCATAATCCATGAGATTACTAATTCCATATGGTTTGGAACCACGAAAGGAGGATCGGAGATGATGGTACGAAGTGAGTCATGGAGTCACATTCGCCCGTATTGGCCTCTACTCGATTCTTATAGTGAAAAGTGATTCTTGCGATTTCAAAGGCATGCAAACAAAGATTCAATTCGCTCCAAACTATTATTATGCTAAATTGGTTTAATATTAATGCAACATATAATTCTAAAATATTTGTGATCACTTGATTAAACAACAAGAATAAAAAGGAACCTAAACCGGTTGTCCAAATTATCTTATTAGGCGTGATTTTCAATTACATATTCCCTTTAAACATGCAATATGGCGATCATAAAAATAATAGAATAAACATTAATATTGGAAGAAATTTAACAATAATAACGTTAGTCAAATAAAATATAAAATAACCCTAATCATGATACTAGCAATATTAAAATAAAATAAGAGAAATTAAATTAATTAATTACTCACATTCCGCACGTTCCTTTAAATTGCTACATCATGAATAAATTGTTAGTAACTTCAATTAAAATATAAATCAAATAGACATCAAATTAAATAAAGGTAGAGTTGATTTAGTCCAAACCCTCAGTCAATTATACCTTTCACGCCTTGGTTTAAGTACAGAACTTCGGGTATTGTATGGACTCCTTGGAGTGCTTGAAGAAGGAATTTTAAAAGAAGAAGGGTAGGCTAGTGTTTTAGGCTAGAGCATGGAGGAGAGAAAAATAGAGAATTATTTGATGATCAAGCTTGTTGATGATTGAAAAAGGGGTGATATGACCTCTATTTATAGAGAAAAAAAAGGATCGAAAAAACAAGATAAGATCCGAATTAAATCGGAATAAAACTCGATAGACAGCAGTTTTTGCGGTTTTTGTTTTTATCATACATTTTGATCCAGAAATCGGAATAAGATAAATAAGATATCGTTGGAAAGCTCTTGCAGTATACTTTCTAACCCAATTGGAACCAGATTAAAATATTTTGTATAATAAAGATATGGCTGAAATAGTGAGACGGTGTCAGTTTTGGTTAGAGTTTGATATTTTATTCATATCTTTTCCGTTGTATCTCGGAATTGATATTATAATATATCATTGGAAAGATAGTTTCAAGGGCTATCCAACCATATAAGATTTGGATGAAAACTACGAGGCAAGAAAATAATATCTGTCTATCTTTGAACGTCTTTCAATTCGAATAGAATTAGGATTTCAAAAAGAAAAGTTTTATTCAATATCCAACTCTTTAATATTTTCTTTTCAAAAAGGATAATTAAGATCTTTTAGAAACTTATAAAAGCTTCCAATTAATCCTAATTGGTTTAGGAATGGGATTAAATCTTTTGGACCCTCCACATGATCATTGGGTCGTAGGTAAGGTAGGCTTAGGTTCGATTTGGGCCAGTTTAATATTTTTGTCATAACTTGTTCGTTATAGCTCGGATTTGGGCTTATAATATATTTTTGGAAAGCTCTTTTCAAGCCCCATCGAATTATTAAATCATTAGACCCAGATTATGGACCAAAATAAACTGGATTAAATGTTTTTATAAAAGGACACGAAATGAATTATATTGGGTTTAAAGGCATGAAAAGAGGAAAATCGGTTATGGTTTGGGGAAATGGGATAGGAATTGGGTTGGTTTATGAAATGGAAATATGGATTTAAGCACTCTAAGATTAAATACTCAACCCGACCAATAATGGCGGTGAAAGGTTGTTCATCATCGGGTTTGGTTTTGGGGAGACATTTTTAGGTGTCTACAGGTGCTTTCGCTTATAGTAAATGTCAAATTTTCCAATTATTATTGATAAGATGAATAATTTGAGTTTATGTAAATCATTTTGTTCCTCGGTTATTTGCATCCTGTTCTTACTCACGAAAGAAATTATACATTCCATCATCCATGGGAAAATAATGTGAAACGCTAAACATCGCCCGCAATTTACCATATAAAGCCCACAAATATGTTATGATTTGACCATTATGCCCTTTTGCTAAAATTGAGATAATCTCGGTGTAAAAAATGTGGAGCCGTACTGGCTCGCCGGGGGAGACCGGATGGCAGGCCGGAGATGCGGGGGACGCCGGAGGTACGTCGTCGTCGACGGAAAACGAGGTAAGTCACCGCTAAAATTCACGGTTTACCGTCGTAGTGGCTCCGGCGCCTAGGGTGGACGCCCAAACCGTAGCTTGGACGTCCAAGCCGGACGCCAGAACCACCGGAGTGGCGTCCAGGCTAGACGCCCAGACCACCAGAGTGGCGTCCAGCCCAGACGCCCAGACCACCAGACTGGCGTCCTGGGCAGACGCCACTCCACTGGGTGAGGCGGCCCTGCCAGGCGCCAGTCCAGTGGCTGTGGCAGCCCTGGCAGACGCCACCTTTAATAATTAAGTTTTATTTTTTCCTTTTTGATTTTGTTGTTGTTTTTTATTAAATTTTTTTGTGAAAATAAAAAATCGAAAATGATTTTTTAAAAAAATTCGAAATGGGTTTTTTGTAAATTAAATTTGAAAATTCGAAATAGGTTTTTT